TAGAATTGAGGTTATGTAACTAAACTTAGGTGTACCTACCTCATATTTCACCTAATTCTTATTTGTCTCGACTTACATCTGCCAGAAATTAATATACAAATTATCTTATTATTACTACACAACTTTGGAAATGCATAAACTGACAATTTGACCGGAAAAATGCACAATTGCATACTGTTTAAACATGGTTTACACGCAAAATCACTTGATGCATCGGTCCGCTTCCACTGTTGCCAATTTTCGCTCAGCATGGCTAGTTATTTAACGATGGCTACGGTTGGAATAAGTCGTTGGCGTGCTAGAATAGACTAGTAAAATTTACTGTATTGATGTTGGTAGCGTTGAACTGTCAACTGACATACGTCAAAAATAAATCTGACAAAGAACTTAGATGAGGAGGAATATAAACTAGATACACTAAATAATACTGGTAGAAAAATACACGCGTCCTCGACCGACGCCTGATGCCAGGATGTCGTTAGTGTCGTTCTGGTGGGCTGTCAGTTGTCACCGGAACTGCCGTGGTTGCGGATACGCAAGAGGCTACGGTTGTCTGTGCTTCCAGTGACGCCATACAATTAATGACATAACCTCACTAATTTTAATAATTAATAAATAATCAAAAAGAAATTTGATTTAAATTATCGTAAAAAGTACAATTATTGTACACATTAACAATAACATGTGACGTGTCGTTGGAATTTATAGTGACACCATGTAAATTCTGGTCAGACACAATATTTTAAACATTTTTACTTTTGCCTATAACAGAAATGTTTCTATTTGTGCTATAATCAGGTTGTTCTGAAATGGTGGAACATCCAGGTAAGGCTGAATCAGCTTGTTTAGACCCAAGCATTTGTGACACTTGAATTTTTTTCTTTATCGAAGCCTCAACATAACCTTCGGCAACAGCGGAAGATTTCCAGCCTCCATGGCCTTTAATGGTCAACAAATCACCACCATGATTAGCCAAATGTGTCGCACTAGTCCTTCTGAAACAATGTCCCGTAAAACGTTCTGGGTTTGGCAACTTAAAAAAAACTGCAATCTCTTTTGGTACTTTCCCCATAGAATTGATACCAATTGGACAATTAACGCAACAGCCATTATGATAAGTTAAAAAAAAAATCTCTTATGTGTAACTTTTTTAGGTCTTAAGTTAGCATATTTTTTAATTAAATCAATCCAGTGTTGATCTGTTATTAGAAATTGTCTAGGTACGTTGTTTTTTGTTTTAGGTATGGAAACCAAGATGAAATCTGATTTATATTCAATATCGTCAACAGACAAATTCGTCAGTTCCTCGCGCCTACATGCCCCATTATACCCCATTATCAAGATGACCTAAAAGTTTATCAGATATAAAGTTAGAATAAAAATATGAAAAATTAGGTTTTACTTTTATAGCCAGGTATATGTTATCATTTGCTTCTTGAATAAATTTATGAATATCATCTTCTTCTAAAATTGGAGATTTTTTTGGTGTGTAACCTTGAGATGATCTTTTTAAAAGTGCCTGTAATTTACTGTACTTTGATATATCCACATCCAAAAGTATACTTAAACATGATCTCAGCATCGAATAAGTTTTCCATAAAGTAGATGATTTATACCTTTGGCGTTGAAGATCAAAATAGGAAAGTAATATATTTTCGGATGTTATTTTGTTGGCGCCACTTCAAATTTTTTAAATTCCTTTTCGTAGTGTGCCTTGGATTTCTCTGGTAATAAATTTTCCAATGTTTTTTGGGCAATTTGCCGAATTTCCGGAGGCGTTATACAAATACAGACTTATAGCTTTATAATTGGATATGTCAGTTTTAGAATATTTTTTTTATGCAAAGGAATAATATTAACAGTATTTAGCTTACTAGGAAAAATGTTCTGCTATAAAGATAAATTTATTTTGTGAGTTAACGGAGTTACTATTGCTAATACAATTCTTTTTAGTAAGATATTAAAAATTCCATCTATACCCGAAGCACTTGAGTTACTCAAGCTGTTTATTGCTAGAATGACATACTTTTCTGTTACACCTAGTAAAAAAAAAGATTTACTGTTGACGCGCAAAATTATATCGAAATTAAAATGTAAAAGAAAAAAAAACTTACCGAACAGTCCATCAAAGCATCCCAGAGTCACTAAAAGGAGGGAGGAAGGAAGGAAGAGAAAATGGGAATACTAGAGCTTTGACGACCCGGCAAGAACAATAATTCAAAGAAAAACAATAACCACTAGGTCAAAAACACGACGTGTTGCGGCCACCCCGATAGCTACTACTCGAATGTGCTTATTGCTTGTCTCATACAAAAACTAAAAACTAAATAAAAAATTCAAAATTTAAAGGCGCGCAAACATTTACTAATATTCGATGTGCATGCCTTGTTTACAAATTCATAATCATTTTTTTCTAAAATACGAGAAGTCGCTTTTAACTGCGCTTCAACAAAAAAATTTTGATTTGACTAAGTAGTTTATTGTTTTTATCTTTAATTTTAAATTCGTGTTTATTGTCCATTTTTCTACCAGTAGTTTCATTGATAATTGTCCATATTGCTTTATTTTTGTTGCTTGAAGTGAATATAAAGTTGTTTTTAGTTGATTTTTTTAAGTTTGTTAGGGCTACATTTTTTGTAGATGAATGGCAGCCTGAGACTTCAACAACAAATGTTCGATCCGATAAAAATGCCTTAATCTAATTTAAGAACAACCCGTCTATGCCAAAATGTTTTAACTTATGCAGCAACAAGTTGTGAGGAACTTTGTCAAAAGCTTTACTGAAATCAAGGTAGACAACATCAAGCAAACCATTTTGATCTAAGGTTTTAGTCCACTTATTTAGTGAAGATATTAAATTTGTAACGACTGACCGATCGGGCATAAAACTATGTTGATGCTTAGAAATAATTTTGTTTTCATACAAAGACTGAAGAAAATGTTTTGCTATTATTTTTTCTATTAACTTGCATAAATCTGATAAGACTAACTGGTCTGTAATATTTTAATATCTAGTACCCTCTAAAAGCTTGAAATGTTGGTCGCCTACCCTATGAAATTGACCCGGTTTTTTAAGCTGTATACATAGGGCTATGTATACTAATAAAAAAATGTCCCTGTATATGGATGATGTGGTGACTAGCGTTTCTACCAATGAAGAAGCTCTTGATTTGTATCATGATTTGATAGGTTTGTTTAGGGCCGAGGGATTTAATTTAACTAAATGGTCGACAAACTCTAAGGAATTATCGTCAGAGTCCTAGAACAAGAATTCTGCTCTCAGCCAGTTGAATTTGGCAATAATTCGTTAAAGGTATGGCATCCGCAAGCCGATTTGATGGGTTTTAAAATTAGTGTTCCCGATGTAGAATGCACTAAACGGAATATATTGTCAACTATTGCCCGCATTTGGGATCCTTTAGGGCTTTTAGCTCCAGTTACCTTATTCGCAAAATTATTGATCCGTCAAATTTGGATTCAAAAATTTGTTTGGGATGATCTTGTATCTTGTATTGCGTCTCCGCATCATCGGCACACATTTGTATCCAATCGCGTTGCCAAAATTCAGGATCATCATGTAGATGGGAAAGAAAACACAGCAAACGCAATTTCTAAAGGGCTGACCCCCGTGCATTTTAAACCATCCGATTTGGTTAACTGGTCCCACTTGGTTACTTACGGACGAAATTTCATGGCCAATTAATTCTACAATTATTATAAACGAACCTCTACTCGAAGAGCAACCTATAGTTCTCGTTACTTCCGCACATTGTGTCAATCCTTTACAGCAATTCATAGATAGATCGTCTTCATTCAGGGCTTCCATTTCAAAAGGATCCAGTCTCAATAACTTTTGACATTGAGTAAATGTACGAGTATTTTCAAGCAAAAACAGGTCGATTAGGATCTCGAGGGGGAAGTTGAAAACCAACATTAGTTACATTTCAAGTTTCATCCTCTAGTCGCTAGCCACCCCTATTTTAAAATTTCAAATGACACCCCCTACTTTTTAGATCGTTTTCGAAAAGGAAAAAATCAGCATCTTTAAATGTCAAAGAAAAATTTGTTTTTCAGTTAGGGGTGGTTTAATTTTTGAAATTTTTAGTCTTAGTAGCCTTTGATTCAACTCAATTTAATTTAAATAAAAGCAATTTTCTAATTAATTGAACTGTCAAATGCTAAATTTTAGCTGAATTGTTGACACCACCGCCTTTTTAATAAAATGTATTAGATGACACATAATCAAAACCAAAGTTAAAGGCTACTGGACTGATGGAAATTTGTAAAATGAAACTACCCCTAACTGAAAAACGAATCGACAAAATATTTTTTTTATTTACGATTAGACAAGCTTTTTTCCACCCCTTCCAAAAATGTTTCAAAAAGTTGGAGGGGCTCTTTAAAATTCTAAACTAGGGGTGGCTAGCGACTAGGGAATGAAACCTAAAACGTATTTAATGTTGGTTTTAACTCTCCCATCGCAACCCAAATCGACATATTTTTTATTTAAATTAAATTGAGTTCAATCAAAGGCTACTAGGACTAAAAATTTCAAAAATTAAACCACCCCTAACTGAAAAATTAATGGACAAAAAAATTTTTTTGACTTATAGAGACGCTGATTTTTTCTCTTTCCGAAAACGTTCTAAAAAGTAGGGGGTGCTATTTCAAATTTTAAAGGAGGTGTGGCTAGCGACTAGGGGATGAAACTTAAAATGTTGGTTTTCAACTTCCCCCTCGGGATCCTAATCGACCTGTTTTTGCTTGAAAATACATTTACTCAATGTTAAAAGTTATTGAGGCTGGATTCTTTTGAAATGAAAGCCCTGTATGATAAATTGCGCAATACAGTGGTATGTGTTCTTAGATTTCTTGAGTTTCTGAATCAAAGTATTTCAACTAAATACTGGCTTCAACAAGAGTTTTTTTTCCAAAATAAAGCAATTTGAGCTATTTTCAATTGAATTTTTCTTGAAACTAAACTTTTATTCAAAACCTTAGTGTGTTGAAATATTTTCAGGTTAATTAAATTAAAGCGAAACCGCTCGAGAATATCACAAATTGCTTT